AGCAGGCTGCTTATTATTTCAAACTAAAAAATCACAGCAAGTTCAAAAGTATTAACAGATACCAAAACAAAATGTTCAATTAACAGTGCAATCATATGCATGTTCAGGCAGAAAAAAGTCTACAGATCCTAGTATTCCCCAGCCAGCATGGGATTGCACACCAGATCTCCCTTCCTGTCTTCTTTCTCGTCCATTCTGGCTTTTAGCCTTGCTTTAGCTCTCCCCTCTGCTCCTTCACTTTGCTATTTCCCTCTCCTTCTCATCCTTTAGCCCCACTATTTCTCTTCCCTACCCCTGCTTTTGCTCACTTTGAACTAAGCAGGCCCTCACAGCAGCCATTAGGTGACCATCCACTTCCTTCACAGAAGCCATTTTGTGATGGTGCCCAAAGCAGTTTCTCAAATTCCCAAATGTGCCCTTGAATCCAAAAAAGGTTACAGCTTTGTTATGTGGACATACATATTTCCAACAGTACTATGTATGCTTCCTTGAGTAATGTTGTCTGTATTGAGACTCTGCCATAATGTGGTCATTTTTAATGGTGCAGCTGCTGCTGCTGTTAACAAGGAAGGAGTAAACTGCCTGGAGAGCCCCCCGCCCCCCAGCCACAAGTGGCTGACTGATTTCAGGGGTTTGGAATGTTGTATCATTTTTTATTTTGGAATATGGTATATAAAAAGAGAAGGCCCCTTGCGAGACTCCTTTTATTCCCATTATCCCAAAGTTTAATCATGAGCAGGGCAGGGAGAAAGGGTGACAATGAGCTAAGACGGCAGTCTCTGAGGAGATATCAAATGGGTGGTTCACATCAACCCTGGAGATGTGCAAAACCCATTGAAAATGTGCTGACTTAATTGTATTTGCAGTTGTGCAGTGTGTGTGTGTGTGTGTGTGTGTGTTTCAGGCATATGTCCAGGCCTGTGGAACTCAAAGTCACTATTGCTGATTTTAACAGATTCCAGACCTGGCCTCAGTTGTGTTCTATGACAAAATGTTTAAGTGTCAAATAATAGTGATCATTTTAATTTCAGAAATGTCTTGAGTTAAGGCCTTCAGGAGGATAACAAAGGTACACAAAATACAACCTCCACAGCAGCCACTGCCATCTCCCTGAAATGTTCGATACACACTTTACTTGAGAGTAAGTGCCATTAAACTTAGTGGAACTTACTTCTAAGTAGACATGCATAGGATGGTACTATTCTAGTCTGACAGTGTGTGTACCACTGAGTCAGCTACAAGAAGCAGGTAAGTAACAATCTGCATTGATATCAAATAACAATGTATCATTAAAGTGCATTGCCTTATTTTGTTTAAGCAAATCAAGAAATTGATTAAATAGATGTGATCAGTTGACACTCTCAGCATGCCATGTATTGCATGTAATCTTGCAGCCAGGTATTCACCAGATACTTTGGCTCTCAGCTCCCATCAGCCTTAGCTAGTATAACTAATGGTCAGGAAGTCTGGGAACTGTAAAACATCTAAAGAGGAACTGGGCTGAGAAAGATTGTAATAGTCACTTATTATTAGATTAGTCACCATCTCAATATCATTTTGTGTAGATAAGTATTTGATAAAATTCATACAGATACCCTTTTAAAACCCTAATTTTTAATAGTCTATTTTTTAATTTACTATTTTCTCGATGGGTTTTCATAGGCCATTTCCTTGTTTGTATCTGTTGCTTTGAGATCTTTCTTAAAAGAAAAGTGATGAATAAGGTTATCAAACAAGTTGGAAAAACTAACAGAGCTACAAGTAGAAACCAGCCCAAGTATTTTAAGCACTGTAGCAACAGGAAAGACAGAAGGTTAGTGCTAAAACTTGTTTAATTTTTTTATTTGCAAATATATCAATGACATACAACAGAAACACCTTTTAAAATATCAGATAAATCCAAAGTCTTTTTCCTTTCTCTTATGGGAGAAGGATGTAGAACAGGGCATACTTCTACTAATGGTTCTCAACTTTCTGAGTTCAAGTGCTGGTTCTCTTACATGACCTGGTAAAGCAGCTACAGTAAGAGAATGACTTGATCTCTTCGACTTTACTTTTCACACCTTTGATGATGCATCCTTCCATTAATTACTTTTACACAACTTTCCATTTAAAAAAATGGCTCAAAACAAATAGCTTTACAGCTAGATTTCTGGTGCTGCAGTTAAAAAATCAAACTAACAAACCTTGGAAAAGAGAGTAAACCTTGTTAGATCACTCTGAAAAGGTTAACAGTTTAACTATTGCTTATGTTAGGGAATTCATAAAATGTACTCTGTATAATATTCCAGTATCTGTCCATCTATTTACACACAAGCACAGAGGGAGAAAAGGAAAGTGTATGATGCTATCATAATGGTCATATAGATTTGCATATGTAATTAAAAAAAACATGTGCCACAAAACCGTAATGTACCTCTGATGCAATCCAATCCACAATGCAGTCAGTCCGTGAATTCAAAACAAACATTAACATTTATAAGTTTAGGCCTCCTTTGCTTTCTTCTCTCCTTTGCTATATTCAACACAGTAGGTGATTTCTAAAAAGCAAGTTCCGTGGAACAAGTTCAAGTATTCCTGGAAAAAGTTAGCCAATGACCTGGAAATGTTTATCATAATAATCATGGATGTGGATAGCTTGTGCTAATCAATTAGTAAAAGAAAAGCATTCTGCACATGGTCAGATGACTACACTTTAGACATCAAATATTAAAGAACTGAACTTTGATACAGTAAAAAGATTGTTTAGTTTATTGCATTTATGTATCCCTTCATACAATCAAGAAGTCCTGAAACAGCTTACAAAGGAATAAAAACACAACAAAAATTCACAGAATGCTGTAGTCATTAGGTCATATACATCTACAAAGTATCCATCTAAAAGATCATCAAAAGGCCAGAAAACCATCCCTTATCCTACACAGGAACAAATGATGAAACTAGCCATCAATGCCAGGCAATTAAATGATCCAAATGCCAAAGGAAGGGAAATTGTCTTTGGCACCTAAAAGATTACAGCCTTCATGCCAAACAATTGTTTGCTGTGGACAGTATTTCATAATGAGGAGGCTACCACGGAAAAGGCCCATTCTTTTGTCACTACACTCTAGGCATCTGTTAGTGGGGTCATGGACAACAAAGAAAGTTACAGAGTTTCATGGTGGTGTAAGTTTGTGGCATTTAAGATAGGTTATAAAAACTTCCAAGCCAAGCAGGGAAGAGGAGATAGTTTGCATTCTGTCACATTATGCCTATCAGTATGTGCTGTAATTTCAGATCAAACACATCATCATCAATAACAGGAGATGGATATGGAAGAGTTAATAGCAATGGGTAACATGCAGCCCTGTAGGTATTTTGGTCTATAGCTCCCATTATCCTTCACCATCAGGTATTCTGTCTAGAGCTGATGGTATTTATACAGCAAACATCTGGAAGGCCACAAGTTGCTTAGCCCTTGGTTAAAAGATTCTTTTAGCACAAGTTTTCAAGTGTGCAAAGTACACACTCAGGAAATTTTGAATCTACCACTGATTTTTACATATAACAAAGTCCATAATTTAGCAGTCTCCTAAATCTGTTTCCCTACAGCTCCTTGCTTCCTGCTGATACTGCAAACTATTCTATACTAGTTAAAATTCCATGGAAAACATCAGCTCCAGAAAAGCTCGAGGTGATTATTGCAGAAGAATTCCTGAGAAAGTTATTGTCAATGCTTAGACAGTTGCTAAGTATTGGTTCTGTAGATCCAGGAAGAATTAAGTATACAGCCATGTTGTGAATAACCGGCCACCTAATCCACTGCAAGAATGTCAAAATATACATGCACAAGGTATGAACAGTGCACCAGTCCTCAGGATACCTACTGTGTGATAATCTCAATTACTTAACAACTACCTAAGAACTATCTCAGAGTAAACAGTATGCAGCTCACAACCACAAGGCAATGCAGCACAGCACTTTCCTACTATTAAAATTCAGATCCGTCTGCGTCTGAATCACAAATGACACTGAGGCTGCAATCCCAGGCACATTTGCTAGAGAATAAGTTTGACTGTACTCAGTGGATCTTAGTTCAGAGTAAATGTGTATAGGATGTCCCTTTTACACCAGATATTAAAAGCATCCCTGAACCTCACTTGCAATATGTGTGCAAAGCCTGGATATTAATGCTGGGCTGTGGATGGATAATAGAGCAAATGTATAAGAATTGTAAATGTTTACTTCTTAGTTTCAGATTAATTTAAGCAAAAGCTGAGTTAAACATGAAGTGTGAAAACAAATTAATGTATAATGTAAGTCTTCTAAAAAGAACTCTGCTTGCATTGTTGCAGTAAACGTGGTACAGGCAAACACTACATACAGGACTGATGCAACAGACGGAGCTCAGCATTGCACCCATACAGGTTTCCCATTGGCATTACAAGGCAGTGTAAACCTCACACGTGAAGATGTCTTTACTTAAGGATGCTGTTGATGGAGGAAGAGCCAATTTTTAAATTGGAGGAATTACAGCTAGGAGAAAAGCAGGTACCGATGTAAGTGCTCCTTGTGAAAGGGGCCCAGCTCTGGACTCACTCAGTCATGGTCACCTTGAGTTTGAGACACGGAACAGGGGGCACCAAGCAGAGACCCCAGCCCCTAACCAAACTTAATGCCTTGCTCTGTGTTGAGGGGGGACCCATCCCTGAGCAGCTGTGCGTCCCAGCTGTGGACTCCATTTCCCAGGCTTCCTCCCTGCCCTAATGTATTCCGTTCCCAGGCCGGCTCTATACGCGTGTGTGTGTGTGTGTGTGTGTGTGAGAGCGAGAGAGCGAGCGTGCGTGTGTGTGTGCGCGAGCAGCTAGGAGTCCCTGGGAGAGTGGAGGCTCATTCACTGATTAGAGGCAGCTTCGAGAGCAGCGCTGCGCCTTCCTTGGCTCTCGGCAGCCGTGTCAGGCTCTTGCTTACTCCCATGCTGGCCGAGAGCGTTTGCACACACGCGCCGGGGCTAGCACGTCCGGCTCTCCTGCCCACGCAACGTCTCCGGCTCTCGCCTTCCCCGGTCTGAGATCCAAGGGGGACGCCGCCTCTCGAGGAATTTCCAGGGTGAGTAGCGGGAGATCCCAGGGGTGCCTGCTCGAAAGCCTGGGGTTGTGTGTGTGTGTGCGTGTGCGTAAATGCGTGGCTGCTCAACTTTTCAGCAGTGGATCTCCAGGGTTTCGATTCAGTCGTTTGCCCCGTTACTTTTCACTTCCCCTGCAAATGCAGGCGCTGATGTTTTGAAAAGTCAAACTTTGCAAGTTAAGTTTCTCCCTCCATTTCTCTCCACGCCCCGTTCTTCAGTGCAAAGTTCGAACCAAGGCAGATGCTTATCGGGGTCCAGGGGAGGGAATGCTAAAAGGGGGGGGGACCTTAATGAGTATGTATTTAGATCAGTGTGGTGCCCCCTCCCACTTGAAGGGTAGCTCTGATCTCGGGACTCTCCTCCTGCTGTTTATTTTTCGGGGGTGGGGGGAGAAGCAGCGAACGCAGGGTGGGGTGGGATCAGGTGCCGGGGAAAGGATTCTTAAAAATGCAACTGAAAATAGCAATCCTCCAATTAGCGCAAACAAGGTTTGGCTATAAAAAAAGAGGGGAGAGCTTTCCGTCTGTAGACCGCGGCGGTTACTTCCCGGTTCGCTTTCACATGTCCCAGCGCCTCTCGCTGCAACAACGCGATGCCCCCAGACAAAACGGGGTGGGGGGGGGACAGTTTGTACAGGGGAACAAGGCAGCTTGCCTCCCTCATACTTAAAGCAACAGAGATTATCTTGGAGCAAAGTCTAAGCATGTTTAAAATTTCACGTTTTCCCGTGTGCTCAGATAGCTCCGCGTACCGTCCTAATCATCTTCCATAAGCTTTCAGTTTTAGTAAAGACAGGCTCGCGCATGAACTTTGATTATTAGAAATTACCCAGCCACACGAAGTACTGCCGCTTGTTTTGTTTTATGTTTATTTTACCTTACAATCGTTGTTGCGAATGTGAAATAGTTATAATTTGGATGGGAGGTTGAAGTTCAGGCAAGGAGCTCTCCCTTTCTTCAATGAAGCCCGCTTGTCCGCATTCCTCGGAGGTGCAAAATCTTCACCGTTTACTATGTTTGCAATTATTCCTTGCAAGGAACAGCAAAGACCATATTGTGCTGTAAGGTCAACATCGGTGCAGCGAGCAAATAGCGAACCCGGTTGGAAACCCTTGGCGAGAGGAAGTGGGAGGAAATTGGAATATGCATATTTAGCTGGGCTCCCCTTTAGCAAAACTTTCTACACCTTCGCAGCCCAGAAGCCAAGGAATGGTGAGCGTTTGAAATAAAACAACATCAGCCGCTACAGCTGGGCAGGGAAGTCAGTACAGAGGTTGTAAGGAAGGGGAAATAATTCCTCACCTTGTAGATCGAAATACGTAAAAACCATCTGCTTGGGCACAATGAAATCATTAGGCAGCGTGCAATTCAGGAGTTGCATTGAATGCTTTCGCCTTCCAGACAGGAAATGTGCAGGGAACGGATTGTTGCAGTTCGAGCCATCCGCAGGTTTGATGAGCTTTGTTTGGTGTTTTAAAAAGAAAAGGAGCCTTGAACTGACTATAGAAATTGGGATGGAGGGAGACAGCCTTCTTCCTCCCTGCACATATTTCCTGGAAAGAGTGAAAATTTCGTTTTCTTTACCAAGATTCTGAACCGACTTTGCACTTTTTGTCGGGGCAACGTTTTGGGGGGTGTCGGTATAGTGCATCTTTCATATGAACTTTTGAGACTTTTTTTCCCCACTCTCCTTAAAATCTAGTGAGGTAGGGGATTTTTTTTTCTTTGTTGAAATCATATTTAAATTGGCCAGATTCTTCCGTCCTTGGTTTCGAAAGCCGCAAAGGACAAACACCTGTTTAATTTGCAACTGCAGAAGCTGAGATAAGTGCGGGTTTACTTTACTTCCTATGAAATTAAAACCGTGGTTGTTTTCTCCTTTTGATGGGAACGGAGTTAGGTATTTACCCAGATCTGTGACTTATTTCTCTAGATGAGGAAGGCGTTGAAATAATCTTCCTTTTTTCCTTAAGCTTGAAGAAGCGTCAGAAACGCTCTGCGTCCACCCGGTGCCCTTTCAGGAACCTTTCCAAATCGGGGGTGGTATGTAGACCCCAGTACCGTGCAGTTCAGAGGTTGATTCTTTTTTGTTGCCTGCATCGTTCGTAGGCTTCGAATTTTGCAAGTAATATTTTAAAAGTTGGCAAAAAAGGGATGTACTCTGATGGGTTGGCTGCTAACAGCAATCTATTTATGTACATTTCAGTACACTTACTTGCTTTGGTTCCCCCACCCCCAAGTACGCGTGGCTTGATTTTCATTTGCTTTCCCCATAGGTCTCACAGGGAAAAGTTGCAAACCAAATTGGAGAGAGCCAAGGTTGCTGTTTTCTTGTACCATAGGGCCCGATCCATCAACTTTTTCCATGTAAATGGATTGTGCTGCTTTCTAAAGCGGTATTTCATGGGTCCTGAAACGACAGTGCCCATATTCCCACATCTCCACCCCCCTCCCCATATGTCTCGTAAACTCCAACACCTCCTTGATATTTAGCTACAAGAAAAGCAAACCTATAGAGTTTATTTAGTACTAGGAACTCCTCCTTGTTCACCTTGATCTTGCATTTGTTTTAATATATTAGGAAGAAATCCTGTTTAGTTCAAATACATAATCCACTTGAGCACTTTAATCCCCCCCAACAGCTGGGGGTTGTTTTTTTGTTTTTTGGTAATATCAGGATTTTCTAACTAGGAATACATTTATAAATTCCTGCTTCTAGAATTATGTAATTAAAAAGCAGTAAGAGATCTAACCTGTAGTACCCAAAGTTCACTCCAGCCTCTTTCCTGAGAGATTATACTTCTTTTTTTAAAATAACATTTTATTAGCTTTCATTTTTCTTTATCTTGGCAAACAGCAGAAAAAATTTTAGTACGTTATTTTAATTCTTGACATTTGGAAAAAGCTGGAAGACCATACAAATTCAACATGTTTTAGTTGCCTAAGTTGTGTATTATATGTATTTTATTAACAAAATAAATTTGTAACACAAACTCAATTTTTTTTGTTCTGTGCGTTAAGATATATTTTAAACTAAATAGCAAGTAAAATTTGCCACTTGCAGCTTGGGACCCAATTGAATATTCTGATTATGAGGATGCATGATAAAATTCTGTGTTATGTTAGCTTTGCTTCCTTCAAGTACATTCTCTTCTTATGCAGTAAAAATCATTATCATCATTAATAAATAGAGGACCCAAAAGCCAAACTGGGTACAGTATGTTAGATTTGTTCTAGGATGTGATTTTGTTTGTTGTGAATCAAGGCTATAGTTTTTGATTCAGTTTCTCTTGGTCTTGTGCTTTACTTTGCATTTAGCTAAAAGGCAGAAATTATGGATGCCCTTAAAAAGGAACATTTTTATCCATAATGCAAAGTAGTAATTCTGAAAATACAAGTCATTGGAAGAGTATTTTTGGTGTATTCATTTCTTCCAGTTGCCCAGTGGACAGTTTATGCAGGTTCATAGATTTATCTCCACCCCCTTGGCCTCCTCCACTCCTTGTTTAGTTAATTTAACAAAGACTTTTTGCAATCTGTTTGGAGTTTGTCTGATGCCATGGAAAAGTATCTGCTGATTTATTTGGTTGCTTTTCGATTTCTGTCGCTAGGCCGTCTTTTCTCTTCCTTTCAGTGAGGATGTCAGCTGTTATTACTTCCTATTGATCCCTTTGCAAAGTGAGAAGTGAACTAAAATTAATGTCAATTCCACTGCTTGGATCAATAGCTGGAGTTATTTTAATCTGGATTTGCACAGGGCGCTAAATTAAAAAAAATCAGCATAGAGGCAGAAAAGTAACAGTTACTTACTTTGCCTGTGCCCGCTCTCTTCTAGCACCCAAATGTTTCATCAGGCTGGTTATCCGACAATCCATATTTTTTTAATTAAGCAGGTCAGTTAGTTTTCTTATTTTGGGTTCCATATTTAAAAACCAATGACATTCTGACATTGGGAGTGTATTAACTATAGATTTTCATAATGACTGGCTTTGCTGCAGCCTCATCTGTACATGCTTCTAATGATGGTGGTGATAGGAAATAACAGTATGAGGCAGAAAGAAGGTAGGAGACCAGGAGAAAATGAAAAAGAATCCAGGAGTTAAAAAAAATAAACCTGGCATGATGCAGTATTGTACTTAGTTGATTTATTCTCAATATAATGAAGTTTGTGAATGAATAGCGTGGTTGAAGTAATTCACGATATCCTACAAGGAGTGTCAAGTGTGGCTTCCAGATTACTAATTTATGAAATACATTTAATGTAATGAGGTGACAATGTAAGTAAAAATAGAAAAGCAGGAACAGGCAGGAGTGGTGCACTTTCACTCCCCTACTTTTATTTAAATTTTATTGACCATGGTTTTTCATCGGTCTCACAGGTCACTTTAGATATTTAGCGTATTTATCTGAGTGGCTACCCCTCTCTCTTTTTTCTTTAAAAGTACATGAAAATAAATGCCCAGATTTTCCATCCCACCCACCACTTTCAGCAGTCATTGTAGATTTGGGTTTTACATTTGTTTGCTTGTTTTCTTTGATAAATCAGTTGTGCTAAAAGCCGCAAGAGGAGATCACCCAGAAGAATGCTGACCAAGCTGCCCTTAGCATCTCTTTGTCCATAGCTAGAACTTGACAGAAAGTTATTTAAAATTTGGAAGAGGCTGCACACTGTTAATGTGAGATCTCTAATCTGGTAATTTAGTGCTGATCTGTATCAGGAAGGGAGCCAGATGAGGAAGAGGCAAGATGATGCCCACTCATCTTCACACTTAAAAACAGTCAGTGAACGTCTGGGTACAGGATGGGAGAAAAGGAAATGTTATTGCTAGACTGCATAAAAGGCACAGCCAGGATTCCATAGAGTTTGTTAACCTAGGCTTGTTCATTCACAGAATACAAAAGCCACTCCATTAGAAAAGAGACTCTTTCAGTAAGTTTTATTTGCTATGTCTGACCTTCTGGAACTAACAGGCTCATTTTGTAACAGCTTTTTTATTATATGATTTTTCTGGTGGCCTTTCGAATGCCGCAAGGCTAGTATATTGTTTTAAAGTAACAGACCTGATGGATTAAAGTGCATTGTGGCATTCTAAATGTTTGGTAATAGAAGCTTAAAAGGGGGGATTTCTGGGTGATTTCTATGAAGAGAGAGGAAGAATTCTGAATTTCAGCTCTAAAAAGCATTAGAAGAAACTGTTACTATTTACCAGTGTACATCTATGTACTGTATGCTTGTTTTGGTCAGCTTATATTTTTGACTTTAAATAGTTTCAAAGGAAAAGCAAGCCTAGAAATGTTGCTAGTATTTTTCTGTTAATGTTAATGGCATATCCAGGTTAAGCATCAGCACATTAAGCGGTAAATTTACTGATCCTATTGTGCCATCCTGACCGCAAAGGAAGGTGCGTGTGGGAGATCAGATGGTATAGGAACCCATTACATTTTAGAATATTTCAAAGACATCAAGTGCTTTATTGATGAAGTCTATGCCACTTTCTTTAAAATTACACACACATGTGCATGCACAGACATAGACATATATTGGATGAATACAGAGAATACTTAGCAATGCAAAGTGTGGATATGAATTGATAATGCCCGGGATATCTGTGGGTACACATGCTTCAACTGGAGAAAAGAGACATGTTCTCTGCATTAGATATGCATATACAATTTGTGTAAATACCTGTACAAATGTTAATTTGTAAATTGTGAATAATTTATGTGGTATTCATTTTAACTGGTAGTTTTTCAGACACTAACCAAGAGTTACAAACATAGGTTTTCACATTCCAGAGCAAGTTTTTTGCTCTGATACTTTTTAATGGGCAGGATTCAGGTAATTTGCCCTTAGTTTGCTCATCAAAACCATTTGTTATCCTGCAGAGATCCAACACACTTATTCAGAGAATTCTGTCCCTACCAGCCACAGAGGCACGGCTGCTTTGCTCTTCTGTAAGGCAGAAAGAGGCCAGGGCATGTTGTACAGTCTGCATCAGCCAGAGAATACTGTTGGCGCGTGATTCTCCCGTGCCACACCTAATTCACCTTTGGAGAACTTCTGTTCAATTTAAAATTAGACAATAAACTGAATTGTGAACAGGAGAAACACTTGTGGAGACACACCCTTAGAGGGAGTCAGAGGCCCTTCCAGTCATTTGTGAATTTTTCATTAGATTACTAAAAGGCGAACACATGGAGATTTGGTTCTAACTCAGTATCTTGCAGCATTCAAAACAGCCAACTGCAAAAACTGCCTAACAAAACTTACTATTCTCTTTGCTTTCCTTTCCATTTTCTCCACAGCTTTGGGATGGTGATGAAGCCCCAGTAAGATCTCCTAGCTCCACACCCAAACATTGCTTTGTTTTCCATCCAGGGAAGACCATTTCCCTTGAGGCCCTGTCAAGGAAAGAGACTTCGATGGACTTACACCGGGCAGCCTTCAAGATGGAAAACTCCTCCTACCTTCCCAATCCTCTGGCATCTCCAGCCTTGATGGTTCTCGCTTCGACTGCTGAAGCCAGCCGTGATGCTTCCATACCTTGCCAACAGCCAAGGCCCTTTGGCGTCCCGGTATCAGTGGACAAGGATGTACACATCCCGTTCACCAATGGCTCCTATACTTTTGCCTCCATGTATCACCGGCAAGGTGGGGTACCCGGAGCCTTCACCAACCGTGATTTTCCACCTTCCTTGCTGCATCTCCATCCCCAGTTTGCTCCCCCGAATCTGGACTGCACCCCAATCAGCATGCTGAACCACAGTGGTGTTGGGGCCTTCCGTCCCTTTGCCTCCACTGAAGACAGGGAGAGTTACCAGTCAGCTTTTACACCTGCCAAGCGCCTGAAGAACTGCCATGATACTGATTCTCCCCACCTTCGCTTCTCAGATGCTGATGGCAAGGAGTATGAGTTTGGAGCCCAGCTACCATCTGGCTCCCCTGGCTCACTCAAAGTTGATGACACAGGGAAAAAGATCTTTGCTGTCTCTGGCCTCATTTCAGACCGGGAGACCTCATCCAGCCCTGAAGACCGAAATGATAGATGTAAGTACCTCAACTTTGCTTAGCTGGGCTCTTGAAATGTTCAACAGGTGTGTTTTGTAATGCTAGGAGGTGTCAAAGAGGCATATAATACTTACGGTCCAGTTTTTTTTTTAAGTGCATGTTGATGGATTACAGAGGGAGGTGGATTGAAGGGAATCTATGCAACAGAGTTGTTCTTCTCATGCTCAGTTGGAGTGCTGAGCCTCAGAAAACTAGTCAGAATTCCATAAAAGGGGGAGAGATTCGGTGTTGTGAAATGTGTTGGCATTTATCCCTCTTTAAGTACCCTGAAACATTTGTTTCAGAAACTTCTTTTTCGGTGAAGGGTGTTGCCCTACTTTGTTTTAAAACACTTTTCCCCTCTCCACCTCTTGCCTCATATAATAAATATATCAGTAGAAAGGCATATTTATTGGCTGTTCAGTATAATAAGCCTTGTTATCAAAATGGGAAAAAGAGAACCCGTGTTGTTCAAAGGAAGTTGCACACCCTGCACTAACTTTTAAATGGGTGCAGGTGTTTCCACACGACCACCTGCAAATTTGGAAGTGAAGTTTCCTTTCTCAGGCCAGTTATCTGCAAAAGAGGAGCAATACCTGTTGCAGCATTTGTCTTGCACTCCTGACCCCCTTCCTCATTAAGCGCCTTGAGCTATCCTGATGTGGGGAAAATAGATAAGTAGTACCCTGTATAAGACACTGAAGATAAGCTACTGTTTGGCTTGTGCTCATCTCCTCCAGATTCAGGTCTTGGCTTAGAGACTGAAGTGAGGTTTTTTTCCCATGTGGGTCCCTTTGTTCTTCCTTATGGTGCCTTGCCCCTCCCCTTTTTTCTTTTACTTATTTGAGGAGTGGGTGGGAAAAGAAGCAATGTTTGAAAAAGAAAAAGCCTGCAGCGCAGCTTTCCAGTTTCCTCTTGGATACCATTTTTCTTCTCCTCCTTTATGATGCCGAAGAGAGTAATAGAGACGTTGCTGCGCTCGCTCCCCTGTCGGTGCTGCTTCCGCAGGCTGTCTCCTTGAATTAGGCACTGTGTTAACTTCCCAGTGCTACGAGGCATCTGCCGAAGCCCACGTTCCTTGTCAATAAAAGTCACCATAAAATCAACCTGCCTTGTAAATCCATCGCTCTTTGGTTTTGAAATATGCCATGAGTGTGTCTTTTATGTCAACGTTTGTAAGTGTGGAATGATTCCCTCTTGAAGACGGAAGCTACATGTTGCACTACAGAGGTGTGCACTCTCTTCCTCTGGTGTGGCTTAAGCTCAGCTAGAACTGCTTGTATGTGTGTTTGCTTTTGTCTTTGATGCCCAAGTGCAACAATTTGAAGGAGTGTGTGCTGAATATAAGTGAGATGTGTAGGGGTGATATTAATAAGCTTGAAAGGGAACAAGAGATAATATTGCCATGACTAAAGATAAGTTATAATTTGGGACACTATAAATTGCCAATTTAAGTATAACCTGTCTTGTAGACATGAAACCCACTCAGATCATGTATGGTAGCAGATAAGTATATAAAGTGCTGGCCTGCCAGTTAAATATGCTTACAGTATATTGCATGTTGTATTTTCCTAACCTTGTCCTGTTAAAAAGCAGTATAATTTATGTTAAAAGCTGGACAATATTAGAAGTGAATTGCAGTGGTGGATACATATCTACTGAGAAGCGATAGACCTTCCCTTATTGACTTTGCTATTAGAAGTTTTGATGAATGTTCAGCTAATAAATAGGTAAACCTCCTTAAATAGTGGTGCAACCACCTAAAACATGACAGCTAAAGGAAAAACGACTTTGGTGGAGAGTTGTAGAGGTAAAATGGACAAATTAAAATTATGTAGATTGTGCTGAAAGGTATCCAAATATAGAAATATTTCCTATCATTGCTATGAAAAATAAATAGAAATAGTTTGGCAAAACTGACTTTGTACCCAACAGGCCTAGGTGGAAGATAAAACATCAGAGACTGTCTACTTTTAGTTCCGGAGCTGAATATTGATTCTTACCTAGTTAAAATGCTATTTTAATAGTTAAGGGATGTAGAGACATTTTATTGAAATGTTATCCATATGAGAAAAAGCATAGTTATGCCTAATTATGACCTTCAAATATCCTTGCAATGTTTAGATAGGATTTCATAGAAAGTAAATTCCTGAGTGTTTCAGTATTTTGGACAAGAACAGAGCATATATTCCATGAGTAAAAAATTCTTTGTTAGTTGTGATGACTGATAGAACTTTTTAGTAATTCCATGGTTAGGAACACAAGCAGAGATGTACGCACACATTTGCATGCATGTAAATATGTCCTCTTGGGCTCTTCTATATACCTAGTCAGTGACCCTAAAAAACTGTCTCCATTTTCTTGCACAGGGAAGACGCAAACTTTTCTGTGAAACAAGGTTTCTTTTCACCACCACCCTAACATACATTGCAGAGAAATGGTTGTATAGACAGGCTGGTCAGTGAAAAAGTATTGGTGAGGGCAGTAAAAGCCACTAGATCAGCAAACTCTTTATACCTCCCATAGACACTCTACAGAATTGCTGGGCTCTACTGTTTATTTGCATTCTCCCAAATACTGCAATGGAATCAGACCACATGACGGATGAATAACTTTAATTGCAACATATAACGGTCCTTGTGCTGCCACCAACAGACTATATTCATATTTTTGTTTGTTTGTTGTAATTTCAAAGTTGGATTTCTCACTAACTCATTTCTTTGCTTTTAAGGATGGCCATACAGGGAGTTTAAAACTCCTGGAAAAGAGAGTTGTAGGGTGTGGTGCTTTGTTTTTACAGAAATGCTGTCCAAGGTGTTCTGCATTACTAACAAGAGCTAATGAAGGGGAAAGTATGTCTCTATAGAGATACAGATGTGGGCATTTCATTTTATTAATTAGATACTAACTAAGAGTGATATTTGGTGTGTTTATATTCCCATGAGATTAGATTCTTATCTCTGTTAATTAGTGGTGTAAATCTGGATTGATTCTCATACCCACTTGAAAAGTCATTTAGGATTTACATTGATACACATTTTTAGTGTCTACCTCCTGAATGTGTTTTCAGCTCACAATGTATGACACAGTTTATTGGCTTGGACCACATATATTTTACAGATTTTACATATACGCAATTGTACCCTAAGTCGGTGACAGAAGCAATTGGAAGGTGTCACATGAATTTACCATATGCTAATAATTATTTTGTAATCTGCTTCCAGGAGAGAATTTGGTAGATTTTCCTCTTTCTTACAGATCTTTTTGGCTCCAGGAAAGTTGGAGCTTAACCCTCAGGAGTTGTGTGCGAAAGATATGCCGGATTGTTTGTTAAGACAAATACTTTGTCCAGGTAGCTCTGCTTGAATTTTCATTGAGAGCATTAATGACATTTTTGAAACCTGCTTACACTGCGTGAGCATTGCTCCTAACATCTACGGACACATTGCATGGGGTTCTTCAAATAAACGTATCCTCATTAGTGTGGAAGTTTCCAGCTGGAGTAGATATAAATGCTGTATCCCTGTGTGACAGGTATCTGTAACTGTCTTTTAAAAAACTCTCTTTATTCTCTGGTGTCTAAAATAAATTGTTTGACTGCTACTCCCCACAGAATAGTCACCACAGTCAACAGAGGGAACAGGCAAAGAGGCCTACAGCAACACCTGGATTGTGATAGAATACATTTTCCTGCTGCACAAAGTCACTTGGTTGTTCCTCCCTTTGTTCGTTCAGGGCTACTCCAGAGTGTATGGTCTTCGTATGCCTGGAATCACTTGCAATATCTTGCTTTTATTTTCAGTCTACAATTGGTGCTTATTAATGTTTCTTTTGGTCACTTTTGTTCTTTATTGCAGTTTTTTGCTTTCAAGTTTAGCCTGTCATTGAAGAAACAGGTTCTATTGACCAAAGTTAGATATTTCTTTGAGCCTTGTCTTTCACACCTGTGGTATAGGTCAGGGTAGCATTCCCTTTATCAATCTTAAGTATCATATAAATTGATTTCTAGGGGCTTTTCTCATATCTCTGCTTCTTTCTAGCACATTGTTTTAAATGTTTCTGTAATAAAACATGCAAATATATCCAATCTAGGATGAGAGGTATTGGGAATGAGACATCATCACCTTATTTATACTTGAGTTTTTTCTAACAAGTTTTTTCTCATAGTAGGCAAACTTCTTTTTTGGACTGTTTATGAAAATCACTTTAGTAACTTGTAGCTTTGAAAAATACTGAGTGAAAACATCTGAGAGCAACTGAAAGCGCTGTTCTTTTTAAGTTGGAAGCAGGAATTGTTAATGCTTTAATTCCTGGGGCCTTTTCCTTTTAGCATATTATATAACTTTCACCTTCACTCTGGCTACTTCAGCACAGCACATGCTGTCCAGGTGTTTACACACCAGGGCCTACTATTATGTTTTTCCTTATGCAAAATGTAGGCATGAGGTTTATTTGTTTTGTTTACAGCTGTATTCTGAGGGCCTTTCCTGTGATACTCAGTGCTTCAGATGTGTTAAATTAGAAGGAAAGTACAGCCTTGTTATGAACAACTATTAAAACACAATCTGAGATTGGGATTATTAATCAGGAAAATGAAAATAAAGCAAACAAATAGCTCTGTTTCTAAAGAGAATGTTTGTGTATGTGTAAATATCATCATGGAGTTTTAAATGAGTGGAAACAGTTTTGCAGATAGAGGGAAAGACCATCTTGATAGCTAGATTCTGGTGTGTGTTATGCTACCTGGAAACTCATGGATTTCAACAGAGTCATTCCAGATTTGCACTGATTTCTCAGAGCTCAGACTTGGTTTGGGCTCACAGCCGTCTCCTTACCGCACCTCTGTTTTTGCATTTTGGCTAGTCTCTTCCTTTCCTCCCCCTCAGCAAACTGTTGCCGAGACTCCTCGTCATGTTGCTCTGCTTAATTGTCATGTTGGAATAAAGAAACGCTTGGGCCGTTAAAGTGGCGGAGAGCTGGGTGTGAGCTGCTCCAGTTCT